GATGGGGTTCTTGTTCCCCATATCCCAAGGATGGGGTTCTTGTTATTGCTGTGACCGCGAGGACCTTCCTCACACACCCTCCTCCCTTCTCCTCCTCCCCTTGATGGCGATAAGAGTATGCTGATGGCGACGATGATGATGCAGATGATGATGATGCTGGTGATGATGATGATGCTGATGATGATGCTGATGATGCTGATGATGCTGATGATGATGCTGATGATGCTGATGATGATGCTGATGATGATGCTGATGTGATACGTTACGCTATGTCAGCTTGCGCTCAGAGCAGATCCTGAGGATGTCTCAGGCGGTCTGCTGGTTTTCGCACTCCTAGGGGGGGGGCGCCAGGGGTATGGCACGGCCTCCGTTCGCGCCCAGATTGCGGGGATGTCTCAAGTGGTTTGCTTGTTTCGAGGCTCCAGGAGGCTCCAGGAGGCCCCAGGAGGCCATACGAGACCCCAGGAGGCTCCAAGAGGCTCCTGGAGGCCCCAGGAAGCCCCAGGAGGTTTCAGGAGGCCCCAGGACGCCCCGGGCTCATGCGCAGAGACGCGCTCGTACTACTGAGACCCATTCACGCTCCAACTCATTCACAGTTAGAGTCACACACAGACCGTCAATACTCAAGCCCGTTTATATTCGAAGACTCTTCCGCCTAGACGCTCACGGCCGACAGGTCCATGCTAATGGATGCACATATGGGGAGCTCCACGCACTGAGGACTTCTTACTTACACCTTTCTTCGTTTCCTCTTATCTAGAGTCAGAATGGCGGGGATGCCTCAAGTGGTTTGCTTTTTTCCTGGCTTAACATCCTCCGCTTTTTGAGCATATTGCCCTTCTCCTGCGGCGGCTCCATTCCGCACTGTTTTATGTGCGTCTGTTCCTAAATCTTGGGCCTGTCCTGTGGCACGAATCCTCCCCAGGAGACCCCAGGAGGCTCCAGGAGGCTCCAGGAGGCCCCAGGAAACCCCAGGAGGTTTCAGAAGGTCCCGGGACGCCCCAGGCTCATGCGCAGAGACGCGCTCGTACTATTGAGACTCATTCACGCTCCAACTCATGCGCACTTAGAGTCACTCACAGACCGTCAATACTCAAGCCCGTTTATATTCGAAAACTCTTGCGCCTAGACGCTCACGGCCGACAGGTCCATGCTAATAGATGCACATATGGGGATCTCCACGCATTGAATACTGATTACTTAGACCCCTTTTTCGTTTCCTCTTATCTAGAGTCCCTCATACTCAGAAATGTTCATACCTGGACATGATTCTGCTGCTGCTGCTGATGATGCTTCTAATAATGAGGATGATGATGATGATGGCGATGATGATGGTGGTGGTGGTGGTGATGGTGATGATGGCACTGGAGCAAATTCTGAGGATGGCTCGAGCGATGCGCGGGTTTCAGCATCCCCAAGGCGGAGCCGCCATGGGGTATTGCACTCCTCCGTTTCGCGCCAGGATGGCGGGGATGTCTCAAGTGGTTTGCTTTCTTCCTGGCTTAACATCCTCCGCTTTTTGAGCATATTGCCCTTCTCCTGCGGCGGCTCCATTCCGCAGTGTTTTATGTGCGTCTGTTCCTAAATCTTGGGCCTGTCCTGTGGCACGAATCCTCCCCAGGAGGCCCCAGGAGGCTCCAGGAGGCTCCAGGAGGCCGCAGGAAGCCCCAGGAGGTTTCAGGAGGCCCCAGGACGCCCCAGGCTCATGCGCAAAGACGCGCTCGTACTACTGAGACTCATCCACGCTCCAACTCATTCACACTTAGAGTCACTTACAGACCGTCAATACTCAAGCTCGTTTATATTCGAAAACTCTGGCGCCTAGACACTCACGGCCGACAGGTCCATGCTAATAGATGCGCATAATGATAGCTCCTCGCACTGAGTTTCTATTACTTAGACCCCTTTTGTCGTTTCCTCTTATTCAGCTTCCCTCATACTCAGACATGTTCATGCCTGGACATGATTCTGCTGCTGCTGCTGATGATGATTCTGATAATGAGGATTATGATGATGATGGCGATGATGATGATGGTGGTGGTGATGATGATGGCACTGGAGCAAATTCTGAGGATGTCTCGAGCGATGCGCGGGTTTCAGCACCCCCAAGGCGGAGCCGCCATGGGGTATTGCACTCCTCCGTTTCGCGCCAGAATGGCGGGGATGTCTTAAGTGGTTTGCTTTTTTCCTAGCTTAACATCCTCCGCTTTTTGAGCATATTGCCCTTCTTCTGCGGCGGCTCCATTCCGCAGTGTTTTATGTGCGTCTGTTCCTAAATCTTGGGCCTGTCCTGTGGCACGAATCCTCCCCAGGAGACCCCAGGAGGCTCCAGGAGGCTCCAGGAGGCCCCGGGAAGCCCCAGGAGGTTTCAGGAGGCCCCAGGACGCCCCAGGCTCATGCGCAGAGACGCGCTCGTGCTACTGAGACTCATCCACGCTCCAACTCATTCACACTTAGAGTCACTCACAGACCGTCAATACCCAAGCCCGTTTATATTCGAAAACTCTTGCGCCTAGACGCTCACGGCCGACAGGTCCATGCTAATAGATGCACATATGGGGGGCCCCACGCAGTGAATAATTCTGCGGAAGTTGTGCTCGTTTTTGGTCCCTCGCGGGAGAGTTTTCTAGTTGAGAAAGAACAGAGTCCGTCCCGTCTAGGGTCCAGCACGCCCGGCACCCCTGTGGCAAGCCAACAGGGGGTTGCGGATGACCAACAGCGCGCGCAGCGTCGTGATCCGTTTGTCGGGAGACATAACAGGGGGGGGTGTGGGGGGGCAGGCGGCCTGGGCTTCAGATCTAATTCTACAATTCTTGGGCAATTTTGGGCCCGAGACGACCCAAGTCAGCCCCAAGAGCGCCTAAGAGGCCCCAAGACGGCCCACTACATCCCCCAAAGTTCCCAAGATACTTTCAAGACGGGGTCGGAGAGGTCCAAAAGGGCCCTAAGACGGCCCAAGAGCGCTCCAAGAGTGCCCGATATGGCTTGCTTCAAGACAGCCCAAGAGGCCCCCAATACGCCCCAAGTGGCCCCCAGAGGGAACCCCCAAGAGGCAAACATCGGCCCAGTCCCCAGGGAAAACATACATTTTCAGCACATCCGTTTCTGTGGTCTTCACAGCGTCCAAAACAGCCCGGGAGGTCCCCAAGACCGCCCCAAGACTGCCCCAGAGGCCCCCGACCCCAAGACGGCCCAAGTGGGCGTCAAGACGGTCAAAGAGAGCCCCAAGACGGCCCAAGACAGGCCCCTGAGGGTCCCAAAAGATTCCCAAGAGAGCTCCAAGAGGGCCACATGAGGTTCCCCAGGGGACCCAGGAGGGCTCCCAGAGGGCCCCAAGACGGTCCAAGCCCGCCAAGACGGCCCAAGAGGGTCCGGAGATTGCCCAGAAGGGCCCCAAGACGGCCTAAACGAGCCCCCAAAGGACTCCCAGGAAGGCCCGTAAATGCAATAATCATTTCTTTGCGCAAGGTTGGTTGCTAGATTTTTGTATGTCGTACCGAAGCCGTAACACCAACAGGGCTCCAAAACACTAAGCCAGCGACCTCGCGCCCTCACAAAATAAACGCGCTTTCCGTCCCCATGCCAAGCAGGTCTAATGACCTTCGGCCCATCCCGCCACCGACCGTGCCTGGGTTGTGGGTGAGAGTCCTCAGGGATGCTTCGTGGGGTCTCTTTGGAGCGCTCCCGGCCTCTTGCCTCTTGGGGCCTCTTGGCGGCCTCTTGGGGGCCTCTCGGGGCCGAGGGCTCGAACTGCATGTTCCGGTAACTACCCCGTCGGGGCCCCCTTTTGGAGCCTCTTGGGCCGTTTTGCGCAACTCTTGGGCCGTTGTGCAACCGTCTTGGGTGGTCGGGGCCCTCTTGGAGGCCTCTTTGGCCGTCTTGGGGCGATCTTGGGGACCTCTTGGGCGCTCTTGGAGCGTTAGGAAGCCGAAAATGCGAAAACGCCCAAACCTTTGAGAAGCCTGAGGGAGATCACTCATTTTTGCCTTGCGGGACTCTGTTGGGAGGCCTCTTGGGACGTTTTGGGGGCATCTTGGGCCGTCTTGAGGCCATCTTGGGCGTCTTGGACTGATTGATTGGCAATTCGGGACCCTCTTGGAGCGTTGCGGGAGCCTCTCGGGACCCTCTTTTGGCCCGTCTCGGAGGCGACAAGACGCCCGGAACGCCAGGGGCCACGCGGCGCGGCCCAGGAGATTTGGCAATTTTGTGTCCGGGCCTGTCTGAATAGTCTTCAGGACTGAGGATGGAGGCCCCGGGGGATCCAGCAAGGGACCTGAGGACGCTCCATGCCTCAAGGGCACGGTGGCGGATATTCTGAAGCTCAGGGTGGGGAACTTTTTAGGCAATCTATGAACGTACAGGGATCTCCGCGTCGAGTACTTGAAGATTTTGGCGCCAGCGGGGCCTGGGACCATCAAACACGAATCACGACGAACATCTGGCCCCGTGGATGGGAGCAAGAGCTCCAGGGCACGTAATGAACAAACAAGTCACGACCTTCCAGGCCTGGGCTCTTTCAGACCTCCCACGTTGAGAACCAATATAAGGAAAATAATCGGAAGCCCGGGCTCCTTCCCTTCTCTTCTAGCTGCCGCATCTGTACCCTCGAGGAAGCCGTGCTTGTATCCTCAGGTGCAGGCCGTTGCCTGCTCGTGCTGACGCTGCTCCCCCCAGGCACTCGTCTGACCTGTGGGGGTCATATCCACGAGCGACCTTTGCGCAGCGTGGTGATCTTGGGCTGCGTCCACTTTTCGCCCCCCCTCCCCCTACATCCGTGCGTTGTGACAAGATACTGACGCAAGGGTTTTGGCTCTTGTCGGCCTCCTGGGGCCATGAGCGGGGCCCTGGGGCCATCAGGAACGACGCAGGACGAAGAGTTGGCTCCCAGGAAGGGCGCAGCCCTCTTGGGAGCCACGTTGTGAACAAAAACAGGATGTCTGGGTCCCCCGACCCCGACACTCGCGGGGAAGAGGGGAGAGTAGAGAGCGTGAACTTCCCAGGGCCTCGGCGGCCTCGGCGGCCTCACCGGCGTCGGGAACCTCAAGAGCAAGCTGTCGACCAAGCTGGTCACGAACAAGGTCGACGAGGCTGTTTGGCGGAGCAACCTGACGGACATGCACAGGGTGCCTCCTCCGTCGCACTCGTGGTGAAAGCAGACAGCAGGAGTGGACTTGTAATCAGGGGGTTTGAAATGAGCACCGCACCCATCTACACTGCAACAGCCCTGGCGTTTCCGTTTTTTTGTTTTTTTGTTTGTGTGTGTGTGTGTGCGTGCGTGCGTGCGTGTGTGTGTGTGTGTGTGTGTGTGTGTGTGTGTGTGTGTGTGTGTGTGTGTGTGTGTTTGTGTATGTTTGTGTTTGTGTTTGTGTGTGTGTGTGTGTGTGTGTGTGTGTGTGTGTGTGTGTGTGTGTGTGTGCGTGCGTGCGTGCGTGTGTGTGTGTGTGTGTGTGTTTGTGTATGTTTGTGTTTGTGTGTGTGTGTTTGTTGTGTGTATATGGTGCTAGTTAGTGCCCCTTTCTAGCTTCTCGCTGGAGCGGAGTTCGCCGCCTCGCCGCTGACAAAGAGTGTGTGTGTGTATGGCAGAGACATCCCCCGTGTCCAGGGGGGCGTTCGCGCGCAGCTTGCCGGAAGCGAAATTCGTAGTTCTGTACCGCGGAGGGGGCCAGCGATTGGCATATGGGGCGGTGGTCAACGGAGACCACCAGATGCCAATGTGAACACGTACTTCTGCTGTACAGTCGGGCGGCCACCGTCGGTTTCTCCCACGTCGCCCGCACCAGGTGCACTTTCGGCAGCTACATCGTCGATTCTTATAACATTCCTAACATTTTGCCTAATAGAGGTGTCATGGTGACTGATGGTCTCTTGGCCTGGCAAGTGTGTCGGACGCGTTTCGGCGTGCTCAAGGGCATTCTTTCGCTACTACCGCGAATGTCCATGAACCGCTTTGCGGCCACTTCGAAGAAACCTTGCAATCCGCTCGTGCGGCCGCCTGCTGATTTTGCTCCTCGCCGGCGCTCCTTCTGCTGCTGCCCCTCTTCTCTTCTTCCCTCTCGCCCCGCCTCGCCCCGCTTCGCCCGCTTCGCTTCTCTTCTCCCTCTTCTAACGAAGAAACCCAGATGCCAATGTGAAAACTTACTTCAGCTGTGCCGCGCGAGCGTTCTCTAAACGCTCTCGTTGCACAGCTCGGCCACCGTCGGCTTTTTCCAGCGCCAAGTGCACTGTCGGCAGCTGCAACGTCGAATCTTAGAGCAGTCCTAACAATTTTCTTAATACGAGTCCCAGGGTGACGGATAGTCTCTTGACCTGGCAAGTGTGTGTGTGTGTGTGTGTGTGTGTGTGTGTGTGTGTGTGTGTGTGTTTCTCTGTGTGTGTGTGTTTCCTTCCCCGTGTGTCAGCGCGTAAGTGTATCTTCCTTTCTGCCCGACGTCTGTGGCTGGGCTCAGGCGCTCAGCCGATTTTGGACAGCGGTTGGGAGCAGATGCTGGCCCTTGGGCCGTGCGCACTCGACGTCGCGCGCCGGAGGGTCAGCAAGGTCCAGCGTGAGCGCGGGCTCCTCGGCTCACGTCTGGCGCTGCAGGCGGGCGAGCCCGAGTTCGAGGGAACGCTCGTGCAGGTGTCGGCGGCGCGGGTCGCGCTGCGGGAGTTCGTCGACCAGGCGGTGGACGAGGGGCCGCTGCAGAAACGGCTGCGAAAGTTCCACGGCCCCCTTGAGCAGACGTGCTGGCTGGATGGCGCCGCGACGAGTCTCTTGGCCGTGTGTGATCAGGAACGGGATGAGGTCGTTCCCCCGCCAGGGACGCGCGCGCTGGCAGGAACCCGCTACGCGCGGAAGTGCCGCGCTGCCGCCGAGGAGATTCGGGCGATCTGGAGGCCCGAGGGCGGGCTCGCTGGAGGCCTCGCCTGCTCTGGCTGGTCGGCGAGATGGAGGCGCCCGCGCTGTGGGCGGCGCGGTCCTGCGTGGATCCAGAGCGGGCGATGGGCGGCATCGCGGGCTGCGCGCGCCTCGACGCCGTGAGGTCGTAAGTGCGTGCAGGCGAGACTATGCGCTGATGGCTCCTGCGCGCGCGCGGCATCCCGTGGCCGAATACGGTCGTGCACTTCATCGACTGCGCGCGCGCGCTGGGGCTTCGGAGTCCTGCGGTCCGACGGTGCCCAACCTGGCCATCCGCGCCATGGCCCTGGCCGAGCACGCGGTGGGCTTCGACTCAAGCGCTAGGCTCGCCGCTCGGCGGGAGGTCGAACAGGTCGTCGCGAACGGCGGAGATGGTCCGCGGGGCTGGCAAGAGTCCGACTATGAGGGCGGTCCGATTTGCCAGCGCGTTCGTCGGGGCCCTGGAGCAGCTGGTCGCGAATGGGGGCCTCGCGCAGCACCTGCGCAGAGTGGCGTGGCTGCGCCTCGTCAAGATCTGGGCCGTGCTGCGCTGCGACGAGCGCGGCTGGCTCCCACCTCGGCGTCCTCGTCTCGCGGGCGGAGGTCTGGCGGCTTCCGCGACGGCGCGGCCCTCCTTTCGCCTGGCCGACGGGGCTCGGAACTTGGGGAGTTCCCGGACTGGCCCGACTTTTGGGCCGAATTTTAGAGAAGATCGTGCAGACCATGGGAGGCTGGGCAGCCGCGGAACGCGCCCCGTGCGAGTTGGCGGTGCAGGCGCGCGAGGCCGGAGCCGACCCGAGCGAACCATTTGACCTGTTGAGAAGGAGGTCCACGGGGCAGCCAGAGGGGTAGAGGGGTCCTCGGGGCTGGCTTGGGGCAAGAAGGCGGGCGGGCCACGGCGACGACGTGGGCAGCGTTGCAGCGGGGCAACCAGTCCGCCTTCGCCTGCTGGGCGCGCTCCAACGCGAAACGGGGGACCCGGAAGCAGACGTGAATAAGGAATTGGACAGCGGGCATCCTGCGCGAGATGCCTCGGCAGGGAGCGTTTTTCCAAATGCTCGCGATGTAGGGCCTCGACCAGGAGGGGGACCAGGAGGCCCCCGACTGGGCCGCCCAGAATCAGCCAACTACAGCAGCGTGGAGGACCACGGCAACTTGGCCCCGGTAACACCTTGCGGGCGAGGTAAAGTCGGGCAGGATGTTCAAGATGTCCACGGAGCAGTCTGGCAGCCGCCCCCGCGGCAATTGCGCTATAGGTCCCCGAGAGCGCGGGTGGCAAAAAGCGACTCGCGCACGACGGCGCGCGCGAGGTCGCCGTGAGCAATCGGATCCGGTGCAGGGGCCGTCAGAGGAGACCAGGACCCGCGGAAAAGACTTATCTCTTGCGCTATTACAGGTACCGTTGCGAAGTCGTCTACTCGCTCGTGACAGGCGTCAAGGGCGCGCATCGGCCCATCATGATCCGCGATGACGAGTCGGGCGTGCTGGCCTGCGAGTTCGACGGCGGGATCTACTGCGAAACCCGTCGGCATCTTTGGCATCTCGAGCGCCTCGGAATGGTGGGCCGGGCTGTTCGGCGCCGCGCTGCGGGCGATTTTCTGCTTGCTGGCCAGCGGCTGGCCTGTGGAGCAGCTCGCATATGCCGACGACCAGGTGGCTATCGTCTCAGGGCGCCGTTGGAGATTTGCCACCTTTTTCATTATCCTTCTCGGCGTCTTCGGTTTCCCAGTGCACAGACCGCACTGGGCCGTATGGCGGATGGGTAGGGCTTCGGGGCTGCGCCCGCGCTACTTTCTTGCGCGTGTGCGGTGCGGTGTGGGCGGAGGCGGTGGTGCCGTGAGAATCGGGAGAAAAGGAGCGAGGTGAGGTGGGCCTCCTGCTCGGCCTAGGCAGCCCCCCCTTGCTGTGACTGCCCGCCCGGGTCGGGCGGTCCCCCCCGCAGGGTTGGGCAAGGGGGGGGGCCCAGGACGAAGGAAGGGTCCGCGGTAAGGAGGATGGGCCTCCGAATTTCGCAGCGTCCGGGTGGGGAGCCTCGCCTGCGGGTCTCCTCTCCCTCTTGGTGTGTCGCTCCCATCGCATCGGGGGGCGTCTAGTTCCTGGGAGTGGCAGGGGCCCTGCGCCATGGCCCCCAGGCCCGCCACTCGTAAAAGAGGCGTCTCCGTCATCTCCTGCCTTTCGTTGACCGCCATCGCACAGTTATTAAGGCTCATCGAGAGTGCGCCCCTGTGTGCCAACACGTAAATCTATTGTCCTTTGCTGCCCGACGTCTGTGGCCATTTTGACTCAGGCGTTCGGCCGGTTTTGAACAACCCACCCACCACCCTGAGGCGTCAAGTTCCTCGGATTGGCAACGGCCTCTGGGGCCGCCATCACGAATAGAGGCATCTCCGTCATCTCCTGCCCCCCGTGTGCCGCCATCGCAACGCTATGAGGGCTCATTGAGGATGCGCATGTATTATGTTAGCGGGCATCTGCGTCTTCTCTCAAGGTACGTGGCCCGCCGTGCGTTTAGGAAGCCGGCTTCGGCGGCTGTATTCGCAGTGCGGCATTTGCTCGTTCGATCTCCACGCGTTGTTGGTCCCATGGTGGAGGTCAGAAACATGGCGAGGACATTGTGGCTGAGCCTGGAGCACACCAACGAGGCGGTGATGCGGGTCGCCTTGGCGGGCCAAGGGGAAGTGAGGGCGGGCAGTTGTGGGGTGCTCGCTGGTCGGGAACGTTCTGTTGTCTCTCCCTAGTCCTGGGACCCCTGGGCGCCTCGAACGAATCACGATGTCCATTTCTTCTTGGCTTATACTCCTGCAAGGGCCCATTTCGGGCCTCTGCAGCGATCCGTTGTGGAAACCGTTCCTGGCGATCGGGTCGCCTCCAGGAGTCACGTCGTGACACATTCGTTACACATTCACGACGTCGGAGGCCGTCCTGCCTTCTCGCCCCAGCTCTCGCTTCCTCTCGCTTCGCCTCGCTTCATCAATCCCTTCTCCCCCCGGGACGGGGTAACCCCGCATATGTTTTTCCACGAATCCCAAATTTCTGCGCGTCTTGTCGCGGCTTCGACTTGCGCTTCGCACGAACTGGGGGAACTGCGCCTTTGGTGGTGGGCCCTGACCGTGTATCCGGAACGGGGCCGATCGGGCACGCAGGGTGTTGTCTGCTGGAGTAGCGCTCTTTCCGCAGACGGTTCTACTGGCTCTGGCGAGAGACTTGAGCGTGCATCCGCTACACGTTCAACTTTCGGATGTCTGGTAGTACCCAAAGGCGGGGGGATAGTGCAAACGGGAGGAAGGGAATTAATGTCAGGATGGTGGAGGATGAACAGCAGGATGAGGAGGAGGAGGAGGAGGAGGAGGAGAAATCTCGCCTGAAACGTTTGGGCGCGCTTGGGCATTCGCGCGAGACTGGACAGGCGCTCCCTGCCCAGATTCAGACTTGATATTTTCCTTCTGCGTGGCGCAGGGTTTCAGTCAGCCGAGCGACCAGCGATCCGCGCCCGGCCTCTGTCCATGAACAGCATAGGTCACGCGCCGCGCGGGGTGACGCGCCCGCCCGCGCGCCCGTTTGTTCGCGGACGGACGCACGCTCGCGCACCTGTGCACTGATGCGTTCGAACGCGCGTGCGTTGGCTGATGTGTTCGCCGAATTCTTCGGTGAAGTCTAGTTAGTCTTCATATCTTTGACGATTCGATGGTGGCACCCTGGTGCCATTCGCAACGACCACCTGAGGGTATGGGCCCCTCCTCGTGCAGATCCCGCGGTTCACTGCAGTAATCACGCAGTTAACGTGGAGGCAGTTCACATGCAGCGAAGACGACAGACAGAGAGAGAGAGAGAGATAGAGAGAGAGAGGGAGGGAACACGAAAGAAACAACCAAACTCTGGGTTAGTACTCTCGATACAAGGCTAGCCAAGATGATGATCAAATTCTCTGGGCGTGAGATTCTCCTGCAATTTGTCTGCTCCCAATCGAAAGGAAGTCACGAGCATGCGCGGGAGCGAACATCAATACCAGGTGAGGCGGAGTACAGAACCCCACCCACTCTTCGAAGTGACCCTCGGCGCATGCGACCATCACGACATAGGATAGACATCTCGGAATGGAAACCGAACATACTCTTGGTAATGCCGAATTTCCGAAGAGGACGTCCCGACATGCTTTTAGTAATGTCTGCTCCGCATGGTTAACCAAGATGGCAAGGCTACCAAGATGAGAATCTAGCTCCCAGGTTGTGAAATTATTCTGCGAGGTGAGGTTCCCAATCGAACAGGAGCTACGAGCATGCGGTAGCGAACATCAGCTTTGGGTGAGGCAGAATACAGAACCGACCCACTCCTCGAAGTAGACGACCGACTCGACATAGGAATAGACAGCTGGAGAAGGAGGAGGAGGAGGAGGAGGAGGAGGAGGAGGAATGGGAGGAGAAGGAGGAGGAGGAGGAGGAGGAGCAGTGGGATGATGATGATGATGATGATGATGATGATGATGATGATGATGATGATGATGATGATGATGATGATGAGGAGGAGGAGGAGGGAGGAGGAGGAGGCGGAGGAGGAGGAGGAGGAGGAGGAGAAGGAGGAGGGGGAGGAGGACAAGCTAGGTGCGTTCGCGTCATATCTGACATCCTACCCCTCCCTCCCATCCCTTACCATGGCGCAGATCCCCTCTCTACTCGCACAGTCGGATGTCGAGCAGGGCAATGATCCCGAAAGGGTACGCGATGCATTGTAGAGCACGGCATGGCATGGCGTAGAAGAGCACCGCAAAGCGTAGTATCAACCTAGCATTGCATTGCATGCCGTGGCATGGCACGGGAAATGACGCCAGCGCTGCAGCGGGAGCACGATTCGGAACGAGCGGAAGCACGGAAATGAGGCCAGCGCTGCAGCGGGAGCACGATACGGAACGAGCGGGGCCCGAAAATGAGGCCGTCGCCTCAGCGAGAGCAGCATTTTTAGAAGAAGTGCAGGCGAAAACCCAACTCTGGGGAAACCTGTGTGTAAAAAAAAGTACGCGGGGGGGGGGGGGGGTCGGACACTTCCGTCATCAGGGGAAGAGGGAGAGTAGTATTCATATTGAGTAATTGTGGAGGAGGAGCAGGAGGAGGAGGAGGAGGAGGAGGAGGAGGCCCCCGAGCCTCGAGCCTGGAGCTTCGAGCTTCGAATTTCGGGAAGGTCTGGGCGTCAGCAAAGAGTGTTACGGGGCCGAGCCCTGTGGCGGCCGTCGGGGCCTGCCAGCCATACCTGCGAGGCCTCGCAGGTTCATTCGCGCATCGGCTTCTCCAACACTGGGACCGGCCCAGCTCCTCCTCCTCCTCCTCCTCCTCCTCCTCCTCCTTCCCTGTGAGAATAGAGTCATGTGGCGTCTTACTCTGGAGAGATTTTTCCTGACCCACATGACCCCTGGGCTAGAAGTGAAGAGTCGTAACCATTTCGGATCGAGGCCATCCTTTCCACACCATGGACTTCCGATCCCATTTTCTTGCAGTGCGTGTTCAGTGCTGAAGCGGGCGGAGGTGGTGAGACTCTCGTCGAGGTCACCTGGAGAAAGAACCTGGTCTTCATTCCTCGTCGCTGTCGCGCGTGGGGCGACAGTGCTAGCGGAGCCTGTGAGCACGCTTCGATCCATGAGCATGGAGGAGACAGGAGGAGTGTGTGAAGGTTACCCAGGCCGTCCCAGACGACAAGGGGACAAGGTAACCCAGACCGTCCCAGAGGAGAGGAGGACCGCTCCGCATAGCGGAACTACTGAACCAGTACGAGGGCATCAATGTTTCAGAGGAGGCTGCGAAGCAGTTGGCGGAAAAGGTAGTGGAGATGTTCCGTCCAGGCAGACTTTGACGGCGAGGTCGAGGCTGAGGGAACACAGGACAGCTTTCAGCACAGCTTCGAGCGCATCGCGGAGACGGAGGACGGCCGCTGGGAGACGTGGCGTCGCTACGACAACGGCTGGCGCCCGACCGGCGAGGCAGTGGCATGGTCCGAGGGATGGCAGCCCTCAAGGACGCGTTACTGAGAGCCCTGGGAAGCGAAACCAAGATGGAACAAATCATGGCAGTCTCAAGATTGGTCAGACAGCACGTGGCCAACGCAGGATTTGTGAACTTCTCATCCGATCTGGAGCTCGACGGGCTCTTTATCGTCAGGTGCACGATTTTGGACAGAGGCATGGAAACTGACTTCGCACTCCGATGAATGGTCCAAAGGAGATCGGGATGGGAAGTATGGCCGTGATTTCACCGATCCTGAGAAGTGATCTGGATGGGCCGATTACAGGACGTGGCGCGGCAAGACGCAGCGTTGGAGACCCTTGACGGACGCCAAGCGACACAATCATGCATGCCGCATATACAAAACACTCGACGGCGTCCTGCAGAGAAAGCGCCGCAGAGCAGCGCGCATGTGCCTGTTCGACTTCGCGAGGGCGAACGGTGAGAACCTCACGGAGTATGCAGCTCGCGTCGACGCCGCCTTCGACGTGGCATCGGCTCAGGGCTTGTCTCTCACCGACGAATGGAAGCTCATGTTCCTCGAAGTGGGTGTGGCGCTCGACGAGAAGTCCGCGCAGCTTATCAAGGTCTTGATGCGAGACTCGCCGGGCTACTCCGCCGCCCTCAAGGCCATCCAAGAGATGGACATCTCTCACAAAGAGCACTTGCGTGAGGGCAGGTCATGCGCGGCGTGGCAGCCGCCTGGCCATGGCGAGCGCGTTCCTCCTCCCCCGGTGCTGCAGGCCGGCGGTGACGCAGACTCCTCCTTGGACCAGTCGGATGTTTCTTCAATGGGATCCCGAGAAAACGCAGGGAACTTTTGAGAGGACGACGCTCCTGCCGCCTTGGTGGCCATCCACGGAGAGAGGCGTTAGACGTGGAAGCATAATCGAGATCTCAAGAGACAGCTGAAAGTTGACCAGCAGTTCTAGGACAGCAGCTCTGAAGCGGGCGGACAAGACAGCAAGGCGAACGGGGGCGGCGCGTGCCGGCAGAAGCGGCGCGGGCATCGGACAGCAGACGGGCGCTGTCGTCCTCGGTAAGATATTCTGCCCATGGCGGAGCTCATCAAGCGGACTCGCTGCAAGCGCTGCCACAAGAAGGACTGCGAGTTCAGGGAGTGCTCAGAACGTGAGCAGGGCGCATCTCCTCCTATGACGGGCTTCTGCGGGACCGTCGGCGGAGCAGCCGGCTTCGCGTGCGCGAGCGTGGCGGGCGCGCCCTCCGCGGTCGCGGACCTTGAGATCCTGGCGACAGCAGAGGGGCTGGACGAACCACAGGCTATTGCGCTCTTGACTGTGGACTCGGGGGCCATGGTGGTGGACGCCGCGGCAGGGCGAGGCCTGATGGCCACTCCTGCCTTCGAGGGCCTCGCAGAGCATGCTTCCTTGGTTCCTCCCTGGAGCCCCGAGGCCCGTGGTGTTGGAGGGGGCGTGGCAGTAGGGCGCGCTGCCTTAGTTTCCATCGGTATCGAAGGAAAGCATGGGGCAGTAGAGCTAGACGTTCTGAAATCAAACGTCCCTCCCCGGTCCCCCCGTGCATCCTTGACATGTTAGGGTATGTTGTGGGCCTCGATGAGGGCCGCATGTCGTCGTGGAGATTAGGGGCCGACGCGCCCGCGAAGCGCCCGCCGCCATCGGGCCATCGGAGCATTCATGTAGATAAGTTCGCGGCCC